TTTTTTTTCTGCAGAAAGTCTGTTCCTCCGGCCAGTTTAAGGTTATGTTCTTGCTCTCAGCTTAATAAAATATCAAAACAGTGTAGGCAATATATGGCTAACAGTGCACAACACTTTACTGCTACTTATCAAACAAAGAGGAAGTGAAAAAAATCTCTAAGAAAGGAGACATAGATAGCAATATAAATCTGACAGAGCTCCTAACCCTTCAACGCTATCCTAAACTAAAAAAAACAGGTTTTGGAGTTCGACCACTTTATAACACACAACACAAATATACAGTATAATGGAATGTTGAGTAGCAATAGTTGTAATATAAAGTAGGGGTAAGAGCAGAAGACTGGACAAAATGTTTGGGATAGATATGTCTATATACAGTAAACGCTCTGTTATCCAGTACTCAACTAACTAGATCTCTCATCTAACCAGAAAAAATAAATCCCTTGTCTATTCACTGTTCTGCTGATCTGTGGCACGAATTATCCTGGAAACGATTGTGCGCCTATTTGTCTTGATTTGTTTTAAATGTGTCTGTTTGTCTTTATTTATCAATTTTTAATAGTAACTCTCAAGCAACCAGAAACTACATTTATCCGGAATCTACAATCCCAGTGGATGCCAGATAACGGGGAGTTTACTTTATTATATTTAGCAGTCAGTTGTAGGCTGGCCTGCTGGTCTTCAAAAAGAACATCTGCCGATACCAAGCATGCCCCCGATATAAGTGACACAGGAGCTGGCAGAAGTAGGAGGGATGTATAAAAATCAGAAACTAAAAACTAAAATATTTTTTTTAAAATCCATCATCCATCATCTCACATGACTAATAAGATTACGTTTTGTAAAAGTAATGTAACTGGATCAAATGGAAGACATCATTTTAATACATTATAGCTGAGAAGGGAAATAATGAACATTATACTTTTTATAACACATAACAGAACAGAATCTTCTTTCTTGAAATGTATATAGCTCTGTCCTGCCATGTTTTAACAGGATATAACATGGAGTCATATATACGTGTTTTTATTATTAGTACATTTCAAATGTAATTTGTGCTGTCATGTAAGCCCCAGGCTGTCTCCTATAGCCTTCACTTAAGTTACAAATAGTAGTCAGGGATGCGAGCAAAGAAAATACTTTGAGGAAGAAGGTTCGACTTACTTTAGAAACAGCAAAGCAAGGCCAAGCCACCTTAAAACAACCTTTCTGCCTCCATTTATCAGAGAAGCCTATATCTTCCATGTATACATTTTCATTCCAATTTTTAAACGCATATGGTGCATATCCATTATAATTGTGCTAGATTACGTTTTCAATTAGAAACTTTATCCAACACTGAAAGAGTTTTGAGCTTGATTTACTCGAATTGCATGTCTTGTCTCAGTGGAAAAACATAGAACCTTTTTTAACCTCTAGTTCAGCAGACAGATTTAAAACAGTCTGCGCTGAGCTGCTTGAGGCTCCCATGATGGAGGAAATTAGAAATCTTAAGTCTCGCATTATCCAGCAGCATTTTGGGAAAGCACACTCCATAGACTAAACTAACAGCCTCATTGTGGTCTACAGTAGCCATTCCCGTACAACCTCCACTGTATATAGCTTGGCTAGAGGAGCAGTAATGACTTCTGCAGCAGTTTGGTTTTAATAGCATACCTTTTGTCCAGGAGGCCCCATTGGACCCTGAAAAAGAAATTGCATTCAGTTAATTTACTCCATTTATTCAATTTAATTGACACAACTACATATACATCCTAAAATATTAATTTTAACATTGGATACGTTAATTTTTTTGTACAATAGAGTTTACTACTGTATTAGATCGATACTGTAGCTGCATTTTACATTTGTTGTTTGTATGCACATCAGTATGACGGTATTAAAAGTAGTTGTAACAGACTAACATTTTGTTTTCTAAAGCACTGTGTATTATTATTATTATACAGGATTTATATAGCGCCAACAGTTTGTGCAGTGCTTTACAATATAAGGAAGACATTATATTCACAATACAATTCAAGACAGGATGGTAAGGAGGGCCCTGCCCATGAGGGCTTGCAATCTCATAAACAATTGCCATATCTTTTTTTACTAATACATACTAATACTAATTTTCCCCTTTTAGTCATCATTTGTTGCATCTCAGTGCTGCTGATCTCCTGCAAATTGTTTGCATCCACTTCCAGTCTACATGCACACACTTCGTCAATGGCTGCCTGGCATTTCTCAAAGCTTGTTTCCTGATGATGACAACAGTGGTACATGCCTGCATAAAGTGTGTTAAAATGGCCAGCTGTAGTCTCCATCAGAAGCACATGTAAAAGGGTGATAAGGTAGAACACACAAAAGAAGAACCGCTCCTCCACAGCTCAGGAAAGCAATGAGCAGGGTGCTTGCTGCTGGGAGCACATCCTCCCTCCAATATGCGCCCAGACAAACAATAGAAAAGCTGACTACACACTGAATTCCGATGGAATAAGTTTATTGAAGCATGTACCACATCACTGCTGTACCACCCAAGGTTCCAATGACACGTCTCACCCAATCAATGAGTAAGCCCGAGATTGGGTGAAATGCATCAAAGGGGGCGGACCTTGGGCGGAACACCAGTGCGGTGGTACAAGCATCAATAAACTATTCCAGTGGAATCCAGTGTGACCAGCTTTTCTTCTGTTTGTAAGGGTGCCCACACACCTTACGATAATCGTACGATAATCGTAAGGTGTGTGGAAGCCGTGCGACCTCTACTACTGTAAGGACGCGTGACCTTAAATTTACGGACATGTTCGAAAACCCGCCGAGCATCGTACGATGTTCGGCGGGTTTGTGGCATGTCCGTACGATAACAGGCGTACGGGCCAGTGTGCGCAAGCGCACACTGCCCGTTCGGCATTGCGGTCATCGGAAGCCCGCCCCTCAGGGGGCGTGGTTTGCGATCATTGCAAGTACGATCTGCCTATGCAACATAGGCAGATCGTACGTTTTTTTAAGTACCTTACAACCATCGCAAGACAAAAGTCTTGCGATGGTTGTAAGGTGTGTGACCAGCCTAAGGGTGATGAAGTAGGTTTTTTTCTTCTTTGTCTATATTAAAGTTATTTTATAAATATTAAATAACTTTATTTTAATATTTCACATGTAAAATCAATAGTTCCACAGTAAATTGTCATTGTAAATTATAAATAGTCATTAACTCTTTTGTAGTTTTCTACCAAAATTCTTACAACTACAGAGCACGTGACACCAAACTGGTGATTTTGCAAATTTTTCCCATCACTCAAAATAAAGTGAAGTACTAGCTATAAAGTTTGTCCTTATTCAAATGTTTCCTTTTGATGATTTTTGCCACACGCAGCTACATACTGACCCGTCGTAAGTCTTAGAATGTCTCTAAAGGTTATTATAAAGGAATGTTATCCACCTAAAATGTCCTCTGACATCATTATAAACAAAATAATCTCAGGGATATTTTTACATTATTTTACCAAGGTCAGTTCAATTTCTGTCTGCTCTAGTTGAAAAGGTATAATTTTCAAGAACAGTGCTGGGAACAAATTATTTCCAGTTCAGAGTAAACTGAGCTGAAAAAATAACATACGTATACAATGCGGTCAAGCGGTAGATGGGTTTTGCAAATGGACCACAAGAGAAGAACTAAGGCAGCAGGTGAGAATAACTCCTTGTGGTGGAAACAACTTCCTTGTAGCAACATAATTTAATTACATTATGTATCTGGAAGTTTTCCGGAGCTGAGACACCAGTGTGACAGAAAGATTCCCATGTCTCCTTTATCCTCTGGAAAGACTTCAGACGTAAACTTGATGTGGATCAGGGTTGAGCTGCTGGCATTGCTTGAAAGTTGAAACTCTACGGTTATTTCTAAGCATTCAAGTGAAGTTCCTTCCTCTGTGTTTTGCACATTGACGGAATGCTTGTAAGCAGTCAGGAACTGTTATTACAGTTCTTACACTGCATATACAAGTAAAAGTGATCAACTGGAACCAGCCGATAAAGCTGGAATTGATTAGGGAACAAAATGTGATGAAAAATGGCAGCAATGGTCGTCTGTATTGGCACAATATTAAATATACTGTATTGTGCCAAAATGTATTGTACTCTGCAATCTACCAATCTAGTATTGTGTTTATAAGTAATGCAAAGTACGTTGTACATTACAGTAATATGACAAAGTCTGATGATAATACAAGACAGGCATATGTGCTGAATGGAATATCCAACAAATATAAATTATTAGCACAAACAAAAGATCACTTTGTCTTTTCAGTTCTTTTATTCTTTTTTTTGTAGTGGATACGCATGTAAATGTGGTTAGTTTAAAGTAAAACTGTGGGCAAGTAAAATAGTTTAATCTGCAATTTACTTTCAATAGCAGATGCCTGCTCACCAGTGACTCAGGACCTCTAAAAATTGAGGCCGAGCTGCTTTGCAGTAATCATCTTTCTGTTCACTGGATCTAGCCCAATCCTCTTGCACTTTAAGAAATCTGGGCAAACAAAAAACTTACCCTTGCAGTGGGGCTACTCCCACACTACAAGGGTTATATGCTCATTCTGTCTAGAGAACACTATTAAAGAAGAACACTGCACAGAAATAACTTAACCCTTGTTGTGGGACTATTCCCACTCTGTAAGAGTTAAAGTGACATTAAAGGCAAACATGTTTTTCCCTCCCCCCCATGTTGATGTTAGCACTTACCTTAAATTATGTCTCTTTTTCCGATCTTCCTCCTCCCTCTGATGTTTCAGCCTTCTCTCCAGCGGTGCGGCGGCTCTCCGATCCAGCGCTGACTGCTCTGTCCCTCCGATCCAGCGCTGTCTGCCTGCGGGTGCACGCGTCCATAGACTTACCTTGTGTCCCTCGTGGCGTCCCGGCCAAAAATGAGAACTGCGCATACGCCCGCCCCAAGAGCCTTTGCGGCCGCTCGAGAAATTTCTAATTTTCGCACGGGACCGCGCACGGAACACAGGTGAGTCTAAACTGCTGTTTGAGCGAGTTTAAAAAAAAAAAACTTTTTGCATATATCTACTGCTTGCTAGCAGTAGATATATGCAAAAAAAACCGGGAGGGTTTAAATATCCTTTAAGTGCTCCTTTTCATCTAAAGTCTATAATAACAAAGATCTACTCACCCGAACATTGATCCCACCTGGCTGCTAGACCGTTCTCGACAGCCTGTTCTCTGCTTCGGTGGTGGAATGTCCCTCGGTGTCCTCATGTCCAATACATTGTATTGGACATAATGGCTCACAGGTTTTTAAACCGCTGGAGCAAAGGGGGAGATAGACTTCATGGACCGGTCTAGAAGCCAGGCAGGACCAAGATTTGGGTGAGTATATCTTTGTTATTTTAGACCCTAGACTAAAACGAGCACTTAACTCTTGCAGTGCCGATGTAGCTCCACTGCAAGAGTTCAATTTTCTTTTGCTGTTGTTACTTACCCAATCCTCAGTCCCGCCAGCTCCCTACAGGCTGCTAGACCCATTCCCGCAGCCTCTGCTCCCCTTCACTCTGGCTGTCTAAGGACCGCTGACATCATCATGTCTTATGAAGGTCCATTGACCTGCATTAGACGTGAGGATGCCAAGGGACCTTCCAGCATCAGGAGCAGAGGTGAGGAGGAGAGGAGAGGTGAGCGCTGACCACCAAAGCATCAGGCAAGTAAAACAGCTTTATTTGAATCCACTGGAAAAATGAGCACTTAACTCTTGCAGTGTGAGGGTAACCCCTCTGCAAGGGGTAAGTTTTTTCTTTGCCTGGAGTTTCTCTTTACCTACTGGACCATCATGGACAGTCTCACTAACCAAGATGAGATGGGAGATGTGGGAAGCTAGACTGGATGGACCACGTACTATGACCCAAAAGCTGGTTGCTATTAGAAGTGCAGTGTGTTCTTTGTTTTCAAGGGTCCCACACACACTCTACAAGAGATCAGGAGGGCATGTAGGCACCTTGTACTGCCTGCTGTGAAAAGTAAACTGTACATTAATGCATTTTACATGTCCACAGGTTTGGTTTAAAGCAAATCTGTATTCCATATCAAGTTACTTAATTAACCTTAAATATTCCTAACAGGCACCCTAAGGTGACTGGTCTTATCTTTACCACTCTCCTGCCACCATGATCTGCTATTGGCTCTCCAAGAAAAAAAAAACAGTTCTTCTTGGTAAGAAGAACTTCAACTCTTGATATTAAAATGGCCTATTGCCAGGCCCAAGCACTGCCGCGTTGGGGGGATATGCTTATGCAAATACAAAGCAATGCTGGTATTTCCAAATAATTCTTGAGCCCTACAGTGGCAGATTGAGGCAGCAGATGAGCATAGGCAAGGTAGGTGTAAAACTGTTAGTGTTACTGATAGCAAGATTTAGGTTAAGGTTTAAAGTTACAGTATGTGCAACTGTTTTAAAAGATAGCGTTTCTTTTTATTTGTAATCATATATGTAAAGTACATGTATATATACATATATGCTATCAGGGCCAGAAAATTAATTTGGCAGCACAAGCAATAGTCAAACGCCCTAGGCTGGTGACACATTTTTTTTTCAATATCGAATTGCAGTGACAGTTTTAACACTCACACTAATACCAGCTAGATACTGCATTGTTTATTAGTTTCATAAAATTACATGTCATTGTGTTAATAATAACCTGGTAGTGATTGTAGTGATAATTTACACAGATTTTCAGATCTGTGAAAGCTAGAGGCAAGTTACTTTATCTGCATGCCTTCATTGAGTTACCTATATTCTTTCTCTACTTTCCATTACAATTAGGAACCCAACCTGATTTTTAGACAGTCAGGGCTTTATATTTGTTTTGTTTATTGACATTTACAGCCAAATGTTTCAGTCCCAGTGATTCAGCATGTGACGCAAGTCCATCAAATGAGAACCAAAAACATACTGTGCATATACAAGTGTGGTCATTACTCAACTACGTCTGGATTCCTGGGTGTTTGGAAATGGTCATCATAGACTTTGGACTAACCTCTGGGTCAATTTAACAAAGTTAGGCTTGATGAGTGACTGGTTATTCTACTGGTGAATGCACAACACCATTTGAACATATTTAATATGCTGCATGAACATTTATGTATTTATCAAACTGACATTGTATTAATGATCACTGGAAGCTGTATAAGGTCACTTAGTTTTAGTATGATTTTTATTAATTGCGTTTAGTTTTACAAGAGAAAAAGTATCTAGCAAATCATTGGAGCCTTTTCAAATTTAAAAAAATGCCAGTAAAATAATGGAAAAGTCAAGTATTTTAATTTCTTACATTTTATCCATCAATAAACAATGTTATATTCACTTGTACTGTGTCTTCGATCATGCTAGCAAATTTGACTTCTTCAGAAGAGTCAGTACCATAGCACAACCCCCTCTCTCCTTCATAGCTCTCTCCTTTTCTGGGAGTGGCTAAATACTGTGTGTGCTGGCCTACCTCCTCCTCCCCTCCCTTTACCTCCCTACATAACATTTATTTATATATTTATTTTCTTATTTCTTATTTAATTTATATGTTACTACCTGAGGAGGAGTGAATGTGAATACTACAGAGCAGGGGTACTGAATTAAAATTCAAGGAGGTCTACTGGCATTCTTAGCAACCACGGATGTCAATCATGTGCCCGCCCCCAGCATTACAGAAGGATGGAAAAACTTTTCCATTCTCCTGTAATGCTGGAGGCAGGCACATAATTAATGTCAATTGTTACTAGAAATTCCATCGGATCTAGCAATCAAGGACTGAGGAGGAGGGGACATCGGACGTCACTGGGCACCAGCAGTCCTAGCAACCAGTGACTAAAGAGGAGGGGGGCCTGGCACTGGGTTATGGCTGGACCAAGTAGTAGCAGAAAATGTCACCAGCACACCAAAGAAAGATTCAGCAAAAAGTCTGTAATGACAAGTTGCCATTCAGGAACAAGAGCTTTCTGGGTCTCAAGAGTACCCCTTCATCAGGCTCAGAATGCTACTACTATATTATGCACGGTGCCATCCATGGTCGCTGCAAGCACCCACCTGCTTTTGCCGGTTTACTTATGTTGCGGTAAGGAGTGAAGCTGGTTTCATACTAAATGGCTGGACCAAGGTCAGCCATTTGGTGACCCCTTATATAGAGTGTCACTTGAATGCTTGGGCTGCTGACATCACATTTAACATTGCAGCATGCAGCAGCAGTCTCAGGGCTTCTTGATGTCTACACAAGCAAGGCTTTTACAGGTAAATAAGATGCATAAAATACTTTAAATGCACATACTGTATACTCCTATAGGAAGATAGTTGAAATGAATGGTCGAGTGACAGGATCTCTTTAAAATATATCCAGATGCTAACTTTTGTGTGCTAGAATAGACAATGATTAAAAACCTGTCAAGTACTGCCTAACTGTCTTTCTCCCATTGGGGAGATCTCCCTTCACTTCCTGTGCTGACACAGAACAGAAAATCAAGGAGATAATTACAAAGTAAGGGCAATATTCTCTTAAACAACTGACACCTAAACAAATGTCTTGACTAGTAGATTTCCCTTCTATTCCGAAAACAAATTTTAGATTTTTCTCTCACATTTAGTCTCTGTGACAATGGTCATCAGGTCAAATAGAGATAGCAAATCAACCCACTGGAGACATAGACAAAAACAAAACCTGATTGGGGTTCTAATCCTTCCCTACTCTATTAAAAAAAACTATGTAGATACAGACAGAGATTTCAATATGTGTCAAATTATAAATAGTATTCAAATTATACATTATTCTAAAATGTTGCCACTTTATACCCTCCATGGGGAAACCTGAGGTTGTCCAATATTAACCTTAATAGCAAGGAAAACACATTATCAATTAAAATCTAGAAACTCTAATCTGCTGCCAAGGGATTGCAATTTAATGTTCTACAGTTATAAAAGCAAGTAGAGCACAAAATAAATAAGGTAGTTAAAATAATATATGAAGGGTACTGAAAAAAAAGGTATAAGCTCAAAAGCTCAAGGAATGTGCCGAGCTTTGTTAAGCTTAACACCTTGCACCTTGCCTGATTTTCTTGATATTGCTGTATACAATATAACTGTTTAATGATGTGTGCATATCCTTATGCAGCAATAAAGAAACCACATTCAACATTAATAACATCAGATGAGTGAATTGATTTCCAAGTCAGGCAAATATGGTGAATCCTTTGAATGTCATCCTTATGGAAACTTTCCAGCTGCATGGAAACTCTACTTTATACACAGTATGTAACTGGACCTCTAACCTTGAATAAATCACCTTACAATTCATGAATAAACAAAAAGCAAACAGCAATGTGTATATATATTATATACATA